CTTGACCCTGTACATGGATTTATCGTTATGAGAATTTCATAAGAACCTGCATATGTTGCGTGAGGTATCGAAACGTCAACTGAATCATTGTAACCTACTTACAATGTTTGAGTAGGTAAATAAGTGGATCAATTTGGGTATTCAGTTTTCGATGTCATCTAGTTTTCTAAAATTTCCGTAACCACATCGGTGACTGGAGCGAGATAAGTTAACAAAATAAATTTTATGAGCTAAATTTTCTTCATGTGGTATTGGTTAAGTACCGCACTGCCTAAGATGTGCTCCCGTTATCGCTTTTCGGCGTAGTTATTTATGGAAAACATGTTGCAACGTGGCAACTCAATAAAAACAAGCTTACTTGTAAAATCACACGGTTTGCTCGTACATCCGACTCCCCTGAAATAAGCGTGAGCTTTGCAATGTTTGACGTCATCCTTTATCCTGGCTCATACATTATACAGTGCTTCGGAGGTAAAACAATAGACAAAGTTCAGTGACTTGATAGACCTCGGTGATGAGGTAAATTACGAAGCTTTGTGAATATGGACAAGTTGTTTGTTTGGTGACACGACTTGTTCCAACCAAAGTCCACATTTATGCTGCCTGTAAAAAATCGCGTCAAGTTCATATTTGCTTCATTCCCCCATCCGCTTAGGAAATTCAGGGTTGAAAAGCATGTCCTTCAAAACTATACTCAGTCAGTTGATAATTTAATCATTTTTTACTTCTCAGAAAACACTGCGTTTTCTGCTGAGATGGTATGAAGCAGCATGAAAGTGAACACATTCCAGGTTAAGCGAGATCTTATAGACTTCAAAGGGAGTTGGTAAACAATCGGTTGATTTTAGTTTTTGATCGACGTTTCGCTTTTGACACAAAAACCTCATCAGACCAGGTGAGTAGGTCGCCAAATAGGTCAGTTTATAGGCCGGCGGAGTACCAATCAGTGAGCCCCATTCAGATAGTCACACTGGATCAGTGTTGAGTGTAAATTAAGGTTCATGTCGGTTACCGTGGTTGTCAGAATCTTACTTTGGTAAATTCGAGGAGTTTCACAGAAATTCTGATCGAGGTTGGTTCGTTAGTGTTCCATTTCAGAGGGCTTCAAAAGATTATTCACCCCGATTGCCACTGGTAGATTTTCCTTGGTATTTGTGGGGTTGTGAGTGCTCTGACAATTTAGTTTGAGCGGTTGGGTTGAGGTCAAGTGGAATTCACACGACGATTACTCTTTTTTTCTGATGACCGCAAACTAACACGTGTCAGCTCGACTGACCCAAAAGCCATCTCCACATGCTTGCCAGTTCCACAACTTCTATTCTTTTAGCAGTGGGATGCTTCGCGATTTCTACCGCCTAGGCTATCAGCCTCTGTGACGTGGACCGTGGTCCTCGTCTCAAAACCTCAGCATTTTCTAAATGTATTTTGTTTTCCGTATCCATAGCGTGTTCCGCGATTACCGAGTCTTTCAGTAAAGCTTATAAGGTTTATATGGTTTTGGAGCTAGATATCCACTACCGCGAAGTTTGTTATTCACTTCAATTTTGGCTGCTGTCCACTCAGCTGCTTCTGAGAACAGGGCCACTACACGTTTAAACACTAATAGGGCAATGCTAGCGAATACCGATTGCGGATGGGGAGACAAGTAGTTCAAAACTTCCCCAGTGTCGGTTGGCTTCTCGTCCTTAATTTCCCCCGACTGATGTGTCATGCAGTCTAAAACAGGCCAGTGAACCCAAGGGTCACTCCGTCTCCATATTAAGTTTGATATGTGGGTGCAGTTGATTCAGATAATTGCGAAACTCACTACGTCCTACTCGTTCCATCATGACGAAAGTTTCATCTGCATACGGCCAGAATATCTTAGTTGAGTATGGAAATCCGGCTATAGCTCTCTGCTCAAACTCTTCCGCAAATATGTTTACCAAAACCGGGAGTAGTTGAGAGTCCAAACCACTGAGTCTAAACCACTGGGTCAAGAAACGAAGCAGGTTAGTTTGAGAGTTGATTGCGTTCTGAAAGGCTGGTATACGCTAATATCTGTCAATTGGCTATTTCTAAAGAGTCGCCTTTTGGCAATTTTGAACATAACGAATTCATATCCAAACTTACAAGGATGTTATCTGGTTAAACAGGGACACCCGCTACTTTGTTGGCGAAGTCACGTGAATTTTTAATGTAAGCACTAGATTTCCCGGTGAGGGGCTTAAAATGCCGGCCAAGATTCTGGCCACTTCATGCGGTGTGGAACCTATTCTGTCTGCCATCTGTCTCACCAGGACATTTGGTTTATGGATTTTTGGAAGGCCATAAAGTCAGAAGGTGCTCAAACGCTTCGTTCATTCAGGCAAAAGAGGAAGCCTCGATGATCGATGAGTGAGTCCACAGTAAATTTGGACAGATTCATCCCGGGTACAACGACCTTGCATCTAGCCGGAATCGACGGATCGCCAAAGTCCGAGACAGTTGCTTGTTACGAGGCGGTATGTACTCATTACGATTTAACTGGTTAGTGCAACGGAATTTAAATGACAATGTTGTGATACCGGTGAACAGTCATTCTTGTTATCTCATGCAGGGGTTTTGAGTGAGTGACCGCTTCGAGTGACCAGTTCTGAGGAGTAAGTCTCGCAATTCAATGAAATTATCCTTCCCCTGACATATTAGTGAAGCCAACCAAAACCGAAAATCCAAAAATCTCTGCGTAACATTTTCGTCCTATTTGGGAATCGACAACTAGTCTCACTTGCACACCAATTCGTGTTCGACGGGAGCCCCAAGAACGACGAAACCTGCCATTGGTTGCCTAAGAGTTTTCAGCAAATTTAACCAGAAATGTAATACGCCTTAAAACAGCGTATTGCGTACCCCGAATATCGCACCAGCGGAATACTAAGCAAGCTTGTGCACCACATTTGGCTGAAGCGGACCATCACAAACAGGCAATTCAACTGGATACATCTGAGTCTCCTATCAAAACCGAATTCATGTGCAAATGAGCGAAGCTCTCAAAATATCTCCAAATGCGGTTCAAGTAGATTATGGTTTAGATAGAAACTCGGGGACCGATAACGATGAATGACCAAACCGGTGGTGAGTTGTTGAAGGATTTCCAGCAAACTTATGAGTTGTGTGACTTGGAGAATGAACATAGTCAACATGCACGCCCCCAGAGCCTAGCTACTTGCCGGCGGTACATCAAACATGATTTCGTTAGCTTGAAGGTGATGAATTTCTAGCTCATTGATTTCGGAGTACTCAACGCTCTACTCGCTAGTATACAGCGAATATGTATACGTTGTAATTTATGTACCAGTGAATGTAGGGAAGCCCTTAGTCACGTAGATGCTTATTAGAAAACACCAATTGCAATTTTGGAGGCAATGGGACGGGAAACTAAAACCCTTTCAAGCACCTTGTTTCAAAGTGAACTTTTTTTTTCTTCTTCTTCTTCTTCTCGAAGGCATCTTCTCGAACTTCTCTGGAAATTCACTGACAATCAGGCAAGTGTAAATGGGTGATACTCGCCGTAACCCAATTTTCTGATCGAGGAGAAGACGCGGATATCGACCGTACATCACCATGAAGACCGACTTGCCTTTGTTTGATTGTATAGAAGCACAAAAGAGGCAGACAAAGAATTGGAAACAGTTCAGAATCACTTTGACTGTGTGAGTCCGAATGAAGCTGGCATAGTTTACTGGAACACCACTGATTCGGATGCCACGCTACCCGTAAAACCTGGCTTACCGTCGAATACTATGTGATGGCATATACTTTGGCAGAGGGCCTACTGGCCCGAAGTGAGAAGTGAGGCGATGGATTATGTGGTGTCCTGTAAGCGATGTCAAGTGATGAAACAGAACACGACAGAGGAAGTCCACCCCATGGAACCTATTGTTTTCCCAGAAAGCGGTGAGTTGTTGTCTGTGGACGTCACGGACAGAACCCCTTTCTTAGTGGAACGGTGCGGCAGTCGTACCCAATCGGCAGGCGACGACGATCAGCGGAGTGGTAATTGATCCCATCGTGGCCAAACATGGGCGCCAAAAGTGATCGTAAGCGATCTGAGGCCTTGCTTCGGGTGCGAGGAGTTTAGGTTTTGCTCGCATAAGCTGGGTAGAAGACAACTAAGGACGGCACCTTACCACTATCGCACAAATGGCTTAACCGAACGTAATAATCGAACGAGCAACGAGTGGTTAGCGGCCAAAAGAGGTGACTGGGAAGCGAACTTGCTAATGGCGTTGCTAGTTTATCGTGCTCTCAGTCAGTAGACCACGGGCAAGTATCCGCTTATGCTGATGTACGGTCGACATCCGCGTCTTCCGGTTGATCAGAAAATTGGCTTGAAAACGGAGATCTTTCCGGAATATGTGGACTCGTTTTTTACTATTTACTTCGACTTTAGAAACACTCAATGAATATCCAGGAACGTTCAGCAAGATGCGGTCACGTGAAGATGGATGTTCCATTTTTGTAATAAGGATGCATATGAGACGTATGCTTTCATGTCTAATAGTCTGTAAATGGTCAGTTGGAATTTTATAATAAAGTACCCGCAGCGGAGGCTTTCTTCCTGTCGCTGATATTGTTGAGAGGTTAAGACTCTTCCAACTGGGATACACGTTTTCACTATGACGTTTTATTACAAAAAGCCGCATTATTGTCCTCATGGGACGAAGGATTTTTAAAGGTACTCATGAAGCCCGCAGATACGTGAAAATAATTTTGTAGACCCAGGTTGCTGCTCAACGAAGTCCTAGAAAACACCGCAAATCACCAATGTGCACACATTGTTGGAATGATCAATCATTGAACAAGCTGATCAAAATGGCCTAACATACACAGATCAGCATGAACTTTGTACTGCAGAACCACTAGATTTGTGGTGGATACATTTTTCACATTATTGCCATACATTTATAGGTCAAAGGTCGATTCCCAGGAGACGCACAGTATAAAATCCCAGGCGCATGAAGTTTCAAGTATTCCTGAATATGATGCGTCGTTTTTCGCTCCTTATCGCGTTCTTGTTCTGCATCGACCACGTTGCATGGTTGGAGGCCATCGGTAACCACAATTGGTCATCTTTATTCAACAATAATCCGTCGGAGAACTGGGTTGTCCTTGCCGCTGGTTCCAACACCTGGGAAAATTATCGACACCAAGTAGGTTTCCGTTGGTTGTTTGTTGGTTTGAGGCTCGAACGTTCTTCTTCAAAGCGGAAGTTTGCAACAATGGTCCCACAAAACAGCTCTATCCTAACTAGTTGTCTCCATGGCTGTGATATTTAAGTCGAGACGACGGTGGATAGAAGTCACATCTAATAGACACACTAAGGGACACATATTCCGTGGCCGATGTTAGTTTTCGTCAGTATTTACTTGTCGTAAAACGATATTTTGATTTGGGTGGAGTCGATTTTCCGGTCCTATTAAACTCAGGTGTCATTGAGGTGGATAGCGTGAGTCACGTTAATCGGAATCTGACTTTCCTCACCCGTAAGTGTTTATTGTTGCGTTATGTTAGGTGAAATCACGGCCTGCGAGTTGAAGGTATGGTGTTATATAAAACACGGATTCGATGGTTTTCACGCCACCAATAATCATCTGACCTGACATTGTAGCTTGATTATATTAGAGAAACTCTCCCGGGCTCCGCACTGCCGAGGCTTAGAGAGACCTGTTGTATGAACCAGGTGTCAGAAACCTCAACAAAGACCACTGATGTACGAACAACATTGGCTGTTTTGGCGAAAGCACTGAAATTGCTAAGCAATGTGAGCGGATAAATCTATACTACTTGGTGAGATCAAGTAGAGTGTAGTCGGAATTAACATACAGAAATCTATCTTGGTAAGATTCGTTCGTCCTCTCGTGTATCATTTGCATGAGGTCATACGAGAATCATATTGGAAATGTTGCACGTAATTAGTGTGTCTGTATCCATTCTTAAGATTCAGTGAGTAATATTTTATTACCAATGAGTTTCGCCGCAATGTGGCTATTTATCTGGTACGCAAGCGAAAGACAGATTCGGACGTATTTTCGAAGTCAAGGGATACCAAGATTGCACAACTTCGATGAGCAGGCCGTTGTTCGGACACTTGACCGAATGTGGAACTGTGGTCCATACAAGCCCTTCCAGAGCGGAATCCTGCTTCCTGTTCTTGTGATAATGCATCCCAATACTGTTGGGAGAACTGATGCTCCACCAAGCATGGATTATTCTACACACGCTGCTTGCCTTTTTTAGCCTCCATGCCTCACTCCGCCTGTTATCCATAGTTCATTTGTCATTTGTGTTCTCATTCAGGCTGACGTTTATCACGCGTACCAGATCGTACGTCAAAACAACGTTCCAGCGCAGAATATAATTACGCTCGCCTACGACGATATTGCAAACAATCCCAGGTAAATATATCTAAATTATTTCTGCGTAAAGGATTATTATTTAACACTTAATCAGATGTGTGACAGAAAGCACACTCATAGTCTTGGAAATATATTCCAAAACAAGCCTGCGAACCCGGTTCGAACAGAATTTGGAGCCTTTCATTTCTTTCCAATTGACCTACTTGTTAATTTCT